TCTGGTGGAACCGACCTTCGAATCTCTTCACCCAACACTTTCACTCGAAATGAAAGTAAGCTCAACAATTGACGTAATAAGTTGGCGTCAAACCCGTCAATGAATTACATTTTGTTGTTAAGTGCTTTGGTCGGAAAAAGCGATTTTATCCTAATTATTTCTATAAAAGTTGATTATCTAACTTCTGCATGCATCTTCATTTATTTTCCAAGCACCTCAGGGAAACAGCCAGAATTGATAGTTTAGCGTTTCTTCCTAAACCATTAATGTGTTAGCATCGTTAATTAATTAATTATATCTTCATGAAACGCCTTCTTTAGTTAAGACCTTTATGCCATCTGTGCTCTTGATTCATCCATAAATTGGCCTAATTGCAATTGTAAAGTGAGATTGTCGTGGACTCGGGATTAAAGATTCGAGCCGTGTCCTCACACCTCAAAGAACCTTTGCTGAGCCCTCGTCAGCCCCGGAAGGGACGGTCTCGGCGATCTTTAACGAAATTTCATGAGTTATGCGCGATGGGGTTGCCGGTAACTGGTGAAAAAGACCTAAAGTTAATTCCAAACCTATTCAATACAAATATAAATAGTTTGATTTTATTTTTTTAAGTAGGTCTTCGAGACTACCACTAGATCATATATATATATATATATATGAAATATTCACCCAATTTCCTTGAATTTTCATATGATCATATGAGTAGACCTTAGCTTTTCATTCAATTCCACATAGGCTTGCATGTCAAAAGACATTCTTATGTAGAGCATAATGCAGTCGACTACATCACATATAATTACTGTGATTGATTATGGTAGAAAATACGTGTGTGTGTCTCATCGACAATCCTGTTATAAAGAGGCGATATGGCAAAAGCCTTGTGACACGGTGACACCTGTGGTTGTGTGCTGTCATGTCAACAGGTCGGAAGCATAGGCTGCACTATCACATCTTGGGCTCGAGTCCCGTTGGGGGCGGTGATGAGGCGAGTTCAGAAGAGGTCGAAACGGAAGTTCAGTTCAGTCCACTCCGGTCCAACCGGGATGAGGATGGCTATGTGAAATTGAATTGTGGAAGATAACTCGTATTCTACGCCAGAAAGGATGCGTAATTCACATTGCTGGGGCCCAACTATGCGTCTATCCTGATTTACTAAAAAGTGAAACCATCTCCCTCTGTCGAGCGGCTGTTATGTCTTGACGGATGAAAGGAGAAAATACTCCTCTTTTTCATTGTCATAAGCTGAAAATTGCTCGTTTTTATCTACCTGATAGGGGGTGAAGTTGCCAAAGTGTCACAGACAAGACAGGCAATTTTGCAGCCCGTGCACAGACGGGTAAATACAATTGGCCCATGCAAATGCTAATCAGTCAGAATTTACCTTTCTTTTAGCGGACAATGCCCACACTACTGAAATGCTGAAAGAAAGTAGGCGGGTTCTTATCGCTTTTAAATATGCCGTTCTACGAGGTTTGGAGCAGCAGCGTCGCCTGGATGCCTTGGCAAAGGAGTCTTCTGCCAAAGACTGTCCGACCTGTACAAATGAGGCAAATAAACCCGAGGAGACGGAAGCAGCTGCAGCAAGTGTAAGTCATTTTGTGTCAAAAGAGTGAATATTAACATTATTTGCATTTTATTTGCATGTCTATTCACTTCATGTGGTAGATTTGTCTGAGGCTCATTTTTGAGCATCATGTTACAGAAACTGAGCCTGATCTCAAATTAGAAGTGGGTTAATCTCGCTGTCGCAACTTGGTCTTGTTGTCTGGGCGACTTGGTACAACACACCTGGTCCGAAGTCGTCTGCCGCAGTAGTTGTCATAACTCCCAGCATCAGACAGTGGACTTGGTGCATTCTCAAACGCTTCCCTGGCATCGGACAACAAGACCAAGTTACAACAACGTGGCCAACCCACTTCTATAAATCAAAAGGAGACTGCGACCATACCGGAGACCACACCATCTTGGTATTCATATCTTCAACTGATCTCATATCGTTCGGTAGTTGGTGAGCTTTCAAATTTAACGATACTTCGGAAGCATTCTTTAACCAGGCCGTATGGTACCGAGGGTTGTCGAGACCTCCATTCGGCGTACAAACCTTGTGTGTTCTTGTTCTGCAACACTCGCTACTTTTATCGATGAAATCCGGAGATTGTGGTTCATAGCTACGAGGAAAATGAGGGTTTCGCAGAATATCCTCAGATAAATTTTTATGAAGAATTTCATTTCGTATGAAAGTACATGATGAAGAGATTCGTAGGTCAATCTCACCAGAATACGTCGTATGTTTTGCGTTGTACTGCCGGCCAGTTTTGTTGACTTAGTGCCAATTTGAGGCTGTTGTTAGAATGAGTCCCAACCCTGACAGTCTTCTTTGAATGGCATGAAGAACGAAAGCTTACACCGTTTTTGCCCGAAGCGGTGGAGTAGCTCTCGTGGATTGCATCAACCTGAACGTCGTATCAAGGCCAAACGGCTACATGACAACGCAAATCAGCCGACATCTTCTGATGAGGTTGATCTGCGAATCTCTCCACCATGTACTTCCATACGAAATGAAAGTCTTCACATCCTTTGACCAAGCG